CAGTGCATCGTACGGAGTGGAGCGGGTTGCTATAACTAGGAACGGGTGTACCCTCGGATATAGTGCTCCTACCCCAGTTCCCTGAGGCCTTGCCGACACTTAGCCAGTCCCGGAATGCACGGACGGACTAGACTCGCTCGGGGTGGTGAAGATTCCGATCTCTAACACTCACTGTGTACTTCCTGATCAAGGCCCGAAGTGACTGGCTCTTGATCCACTACTGCAACTTACACCTCGGCTGAGCAAGCTCACATCAGCCGTAGCCTGCATCGTCGGAAACTACGATACAGGTTCCGGACACTCCCAGTGAGTTACAGCAGGGACCGATCGTCTTGTTAGATCAGTTAGTGTGACCAACCCATTAAAGGGGAGTTTTGTCCACGGGAGCGTATTTTGTTTGGTTATTTTGCTTGACTCCTACCCGCTGTACCCCATCAACTAAGAGATTATCCAAGTGTCATCCAAGGACAGCGAGCGTTCTCCCATCCGCTCGGGGAGACGCGCCCGGTAGCAGTATCTCTTCTGGGTGTGTGTGTGTGTGTGTGTGTGTGTGTGTGTGTGTGTGTGTGTGTGTGTGTGTGTGTGTGTGTGTGTGTGTGTGTGTGGTGTGTAAACCTCTCATAACTTTTGAACGGCTTGACCGATTTGATCACGGTTGGTGCTATTTGAAAAGGTTCAACTATACTTAGATTTTGAATACAAGTTGGACCGATTTGGACCTATAGATTTTGAGAAATCTTAAAAAAACTGCGAAAAAAAATTTTTTTCAAACGTGGATTTTTTTTAATAACATTTAAACGGCTTGACCGATCATTTTCAAAAACTAATCAGCTCTCAACATCAAAAAACCACGTCGATCGCCACCAAGCCGGTCAAAATCGGTTGATTCGTTCATGAGTTATCGTTGACGAAAGAAATCGAAAAAAAGTGTTTTTTTCGAATTACACCTCAATTTCTGATCTGATCAATTTGTGTTTGAAAATATATCATAGAATTTGAAAAACTGCGTCGAATGCCACCAACCGCCTGAAAATCGGTTAGTTCATTCAAAAGTTATTGCGGTTTGAAAATTCAAAAAATAGTGTTTTATTAAACTTTGATCAGACTTTTGAGCTCGGAGAGCTCAAAACTACACGAATATTATATTCTTGGTCTCAAAGAGCTCAAAAACATAATAAGTGCAATTTTGAGCACTTAATTACGAAAGTAGCGGGAAGTTGCAGGGATGGCCTTCAGTCAACCGTTTTCCTAATTTTTTCTGAGTTTTGGTAAACCTCTCTAAACCACGATAAATGTTGCCAAGCGTTCTAAAAGCGGATGATTTGTCCGAAAGTTATTGTAGCTTAAATATTATGAAATATATTAGCTCAAAGAGCTCAAAAACGCCGTAACAAGTTAAATTTGGAGCGCTTTGTATTTGAAATTAGCGAGAGGTGGCAGGAATGGCCTGTAGGGTCAACCGTTTTACGAAATTTTTTTTTTAATTTTTCGAATAAAAATTTCTTTTTCATTTGAATTTAACAGAAATTTAAGTAATTTGTTTATTTGTATAAAACTAAATTTCTGATATTAAAATTTAATCCTTTTCTTTTTTTTTTTTTTTTAGTTTTTTGTTTATATCTCAATGGTATCACAACTAATTAATTTATTTTTAATGATTTAGATAATTTATTAACAAAATATGATAACAATCAAATGATTCGAAAAGGTAATGACAAACCTTTTGATTTGGGAACCAAAGTTGAAGTTCTTGTCGGTTCTGAATTACGACATGGAGTCATTCGATGGATCGACAATGTACCGGGAAGTAATACTGGAAAAATTATGGCAGCTATTGAATTTGTAAGTTATTTAATGTCACATTACAGTTTTTAAAATTTGATGAATTTTATTTTAAATCAAAATTTTGTTTTTTAATTTTGTGAATTAAAAAAATCTTTTTTTTTTAATAAAAAATCTATTAATATTTAATCATTGCGATATTAAAATATAATTATAAAAATAAAATTGATTTTATCCGTATATTATTTTTGATGATTACAGAAAGATGAGCCTGATTTACAAAACACAGATGAAGTGTACAATGAGTTAAAACATTTTAATATTAAATTAAATAGATCATGTTACGGAGATTCTCAAACTTTTATACAACCTAACATAACATCTGTAAGTATAAATATTATAAGATTAAACGTATTGTACATTAAAAATGAAAATTCACAAATAAGTTAATTAATTATAGAAAGACGATTCATTATTAAGAATCAATGATGATAATTTAAGTAAATCTGAAAATTTGATAGTTAAAGGTATTGTAAAACCTATATGTGTCGAAGATGGTCTTGAAAATATATGTGGTAAATATCGTGGCATTCAAGGCCATCATAATTCATGTTATTTAGACGCTACATTATTCAGTATGTTTGCTTTCACAAGTGTTTTTGATAACTTGCTTTTCAGGTGAATAATTATAAATGTAAAAACATAAAAAATCGTTTTTCATTTTTTAATAATGCGATAATTTGTTATTTTAATTAGACCTCCAACTGAAAAAGACTGCGCACAATATGAACAAGTACAGCGAGTATTACGAGAAGACATTGTAAATCCTCTAAGAAAGAATGTTTTTGTACACGCAAATAGTGTAATGAAACTACGAACATTGCTTGAAAAATTGTCATCGGTATCTGGTTTAACTAGTGAAGAAAAAGATCCGGAAGAATTTCTCACTTCACTAGTTGCTCAAATATTAAATGCAGAGCCTTTTTTAAAGTTAAGCTCTGGTCAAGATGCGTATCATTATCAACTTTTTGTTGAAAAAGATGATCACTTAAATTTACCTACAGTACAACAATTACTCGAACAAAGCTTTTTAACGAGTAATATTAGACTAAAAGAGGTTCCATCATGCTTAATAATACAAATGCCGCGTTTTGGAAAATCATATAAAATGTACTCAAAAATTCAGCCTACACTTTTACTTGATGTCACGGATATTATCGAAGATTGTAGAGTATAATTAATGTTTATTATATAATATACGGAAGGAATTATTGTTGTTAATTATTTCATTTTCTGTAGCTCCAAGGCAATGTACAGTCTGTGGAAAGTTAGCTGAATATGAATGCAAAGAATGCTATGGTCAACGGGGATTAGGTTTGGAAAGTATTGCTTTCTGTACTTCTTGTTTAGATCAAGTAACTATTATTTTTTAACTGTATAACTTTATAATTATATCAACAATAGTAATAATAAAATTAATTAACTGAATTATTTTAGGTACATCGGCATGAAAGAAGAACAAACCATGCATCTACAAAATTGAACGTACCCACTGAATTTAAAGTAAGTTCTGGAAAATATTTAGTAAAATTTTATATTTTTACTGAATTAACACACTGAATTTAGAACTTTTTTTTATTTTTTAGATTTTACAAGAACATTGTCCAGTTCCACGCCTTTTTTTGGAACTATCAGCTGTAGTCTGCATTGAGACATCTCATTATGTGTCATTTGTAAAATGTGGATCGGGCTCTGAAGCACCATGGTGCTTTTTCGATTCAATGGCTGATCGCAAAGGTAATATCATTTTTTTCAGATTATACAAGAAATATTTTTCAATTTGTGACTAAATGTGATTGATTTGACGTTAAATTTTAGGCGAACAAAATGGATTCAATATACCTGAAATGGTATCATGTCCAGATTTTCCATACTGGCTAAGTGAAGATGGAGCGAAAAAAGCTGAATCCACTGATGATCGACAATTACCGGAATATGCTAAAAGGCTTCTTTGCGATGCTTACATGTGCATGTATCAATCATCGGATGTGATGATGTATAAGTAATATAATTATATTCTAACATAAGATAAATAAGCTACAGAGTGGATCGATTTTTTTCAACGATATCAAATGTGATTACTTTGGATGATGAACAAAATTAATGATGGATAGACTTCATTCACAATATACCATTTTTATATTTAAACATTAGTTGTGATAATTCATATAAGACTTTTAATTATTAACATTAATATTATATATTATAAAGATCACAGTTATAGTTATCTATGTCTATAAACATTAATTTCTTAGAGTTGATTTTTTATATAAAATTCAGTGTTGGTTGTTCAAATAACAATTATGATTTTGTTGCTAAAACATTCATTTCATTTAATTTATATATTTTCAGAAAAAAAAAAAATTTGTCTGCACAAAATAAAGGACTTTTATACACAAGTAAAAAAAATTTGCTAATATCTTTATTTTTTGATTTTTTATGGCTAAAAATCAGAAGACCCTCAGAAGACTTCTATACATATTGTATAATTACTAACAAAATTACGTTTAATAATATTAGATAATTTGCGAATAAATATAATTGATTGTTATAAAAATTTACAATAAATCATTATCTATAAGATTTTTTGATTGATTATTTATTGTTATATTAAATTATTTATTTACTAATGAAATATAAGACATAACATTATAGGAAAGAAAGTAACAATTACTGCAAAACGTTCAAGAACAAAGTTCAACTTATTCAAAATTTTGGGGTTTTTTTAATTAAAAAGTGCTTAAAACAAAATTTTTTTGGGAAAATCATAAAAGTTGAAAAATCGAAAAAAATAGTAATATTATAAATAATTTATGGAAAAATTTTTTTTCTTCAGCAAATCTTTGTTTTATACTAAAAGAAAATTTTTGTCCAAATTAAAAGGGGTCGAATCTAATTATTGGTCGATTTCGCATGGAATGACCCATATATATAGAAATACGAAAAATATGATTAACTGTCAACTTAACAGAGAGTTTAATGGGCGTTTATTGTTCCACATGTACCAGTAGACACTCAATATAGTTAGAGTTTCGGGGGTAATGTATCTTCTTAAAGCGGATGATAAAAATGATAAAAATCAATAACAACAAATATAACTTGTATTTTTCCTTCAAATATTACTGGTCAATAATTATCGAGTGGGAGAGAAGGAGAGAAACGTAACCCTGAAAGTGTAACTTTATTGAGAGTCTACTGTACTGGGAATAAATGGAATAAATCTGTGTCTATTGATACGAAAACTGAACATGTATTGCGCAAAGACCAAACAAACCACTGAAAAAAGACAAAAAATGTATATTCATGATAGATAGAGAGAGATATTTGAACAATAAAAATCAACTTCTGTCAAAAGAAAGAACCAGAAAATAAAATGGTCTGAGTTATTTTAACTAGACGAACTTATAAGTGTGCGTCGTATTAACATTGAAATTTTTAGATTTTCTTCACTTGGTAATTAATCTAAAGTTATTGTTTTTCTCGTATTCATTATATTGGTGCAATTTCGGAGATTATTTTGAGAATTTGTGTGACGTGAGATACTGTTTACGTGAATCTTGTCATTTCTCAAACTTACAACAGTGTCCAGTTAGAAAAACAACTACAACAATGTTTGTAATCATGGATTGTTCGCTATAGTACCGAAAAAGTGAATAATTAAATGGTTGTTAATTAGCCAGTTGGTTTATTTGAGTAAAAGTAAATATTTAAAACTTTATATCTGTTGCTCAAAAGAGCAAAAAAATTTTTTACTTATTCTTCCCTCAAGTGTATTGACTATATTATTTTTAGTACGTAGTTTTTATGTACAAGCTATAAGCGTCGCTGACAAGAGAATAAAGACAAAAACAGTTTGAAGTTAAAAATTCATCATAAAAAACTAACTAACTAATATTATTATTTTTTTTTTCTTTTTCTATTAAAATAATAAAATAAACTCTTTAATTTTATTGAATATTTGATTAACTTGAAAAAAATAAACAGTAATTTTGTAATGTACCGCAAGTGTAGCACTGAAGAATACGCAGTTACATCGACAATAAAATTTGTTCACTCGAAGAGAAAAGGAATTTTTATAAATATAAAAAAAATGCTGAAGAACGAATTTAGTAGCCGTAATTCATTGAATTTTTTGATATTTCGTTTGAATTGAATTATCAAATGAAATGAATTAGAGTAAATTTATTGAATTCAATAAAATTTGTCGAAGAGCTGATAACTCTTATAAAAAAAAAGGCAAATATCTAGAAAATGTTAAAATCTTACTGTTGAGAACATCTCCAACGACATTTAAGATTTTGATAAATTCCATTCAGAGGATAATTTGATTTATATTTTAATTAACTACGTTATCAATCAACATGAAACTATTGGAAAGTACTAGATTTGAAGCAATAAACAGTGCTTTGTTTATCAAAACCGGTGACTGCAAAATCATCGGAAGGTAATCATTTTTAATTTATAGTCGTATATATAAGTAAACTATTTTGTAATAATAAATGAATAATTATTTTATTTCAGAATTGAAAGTTATTCTTGTAAAATGGCTGGAAATGATAAGCAAATGTATAAAAGATTTAATTCTGAGCAAGGAGTTACACCACACGACCTTCAAGCTTTATCTCCACCACAAACATCTCTTGGCACGTCACCAGCCCAATCTTATTTCAGGTATTTATTTTTAAATTTTTTTACTCAGTGCAAAAGAAAACAAATCGTTATATAAATATTTTTACAGTAAAAGTATCTCTGGAGATGAAGAAGGACCTTTATGTGACACAATTAGCCGAAAAACTTTATTTTATTTAATTGCAACTTTAAATTCAACATTCTGTCCTGATTACGATTTTTCCGATGCTAAAAGTCACGAATTCAGTAAGGAACCCAGTTTGCAATGGGTCATGAATGCAGTTGATAGTAATCTTAGTGCTACTGCTGGTGATCATTACCGCAATTTAAGATCTGCATTGTGGGCTGCAATTGAAGACGAAATATCAATGAGCGAATGTGATATTTATAGGTAACAATAGTAATAACTAATAAGTAATAATTATAGTACTTATTACATTGAAAAAGAAAAAAAAATACCTTTTATATCAATATTTTGACTTTCTCACACAACTTACTAATTCTCATTACTGCTATATACAGCTATAATCCGGATTTGGCGTCAGATCCTTTTGGAGAAGATGGTTGTTTATGGTCATTCAACTATTTTTTTTACAATAAAAAATTGAAACGCATCGTATTCTTTAATTGTAGAGCAATAAAGTTAGTATTGATTTTCGATCATTTTTATAAATAACAGCATATGTGTAAATATTATTAATATTTTTTTTTTCTGTTGTTACAGTCCTCTGTACGTTTTAGATTCTGGAGTTGGTAGTGATTTTGCTATGGATGAAGATGATGATGACATTGACAACGATCGTTATTAAGCGATAAATATAAAATTTTTACTTGCAATTTAAGCGTAATTTGATATTTAAATTAACTTTTTTTTTCACAATTTAAAAAAAAATTGATATTAGTTATTTTTTCCAAAGTACTTCATTTAAAACAATACAAGAATATGATTATTGTTTCCGCGATATAATTTACAGCTTTATAATTAGCTAAATAAAAGTTTAATTTTCTTTGAGAATCATAATCGAATATGATTATTATATATTGCGTGTATTTAATGTCTATTATTCTACATTAGTTGCAGAAAATAGAAATATTTCAAATTATATGACTTTCGTATGTTTTTGGGAGATGGAATTTTGTGCATTCTTTTACTATGGTTTCGAGTCTTTAGTATTTAAACTTATCCATCAAAAATACAATAATGCATATTTAATGCTCTATATGATTATCTATATTTTTTCTATATACAAAATCAAATTTAATAATAGTTATTAACACGTAAGAGTTATTAATATTCACACAATTTTATAGATTATACAAGATGCATGTAATTATTAAGTACTTGCAAAAATTATTATATCTTAAATTTAAAATTCAAGTATTTAATTAAATGGTAACTATTTAAAAACAATAAGTTTTTTAGAATAATTTACAGTTAATAGAAATATAACTCTATTTATTTTTTCTTTTTTTTTTCCCATTATGTCATAATTCTATGTTATGGGAGAGTTATTGAGAGTTTTTACTTATAAACATTAATTAAGTAAAAAAAAATAGTTTCTTACAAAGAGTAAAAATATTGTTGTTGCATTAAAATGTGCTACTATAGTAATAAAACATCAGTAAAAACATATTAACAATGAGAATTCGTACTTCTATTTTATAATATTCTTTCTTTTCTAATTTTGAATTTTTCTGAAGCGTTTTTAACGATTCTTAAAAGTTTTATGCATGTTTGCATGTTTCAGATAAATTTTTTATCATGAAATTATTCGCAATACAAGATGCAGTTGCTATATAATGGGCAAAAAAATTTTGATGTATTAAGATCGCATACTATATCTATACGAAAACTCTTAGATTTAGGCCACATAATTCGTAGTGTATTAAATTAATTTAATGAGTATATGTATAACAAATCACGCACTTATTAATTTTCACAGCACTAGAATGAAAAAAATCTTAGTGATATTTAATAATTAAATGAAACTTTTAGAAAAATGAAAATAAAATTAATGATGTAGAATATCAAAAAAGTAAAAGGAATATTTTGTTTTTACAATTATTGTAGAACTTAAGTATTATTATTTTTAGAGTTTATTAATTCAATAAGTATTCATCAGTTTATGATGATGCGGGCAACATATATTTCATTAATATTTACATAGAAGTAGATCTTCATTCATTTTCAGTCATAGAAAATCGAAAAATGAAGACGTTCGCAAATTTCTTTTCTTTGACTTTCTTTTCTTTCGGTGAATTATAGATAAAAACTGAAACCAGTTTGATTATCAGAAAATCGAAGTTTATGGCGATTTTTGGATTTGAAAAGTCTCCTAATTGAAATTTAAATTTTTGATCGACAATTCAAAGATGATGCACTTTTCTTTAAGATTGATAAATTTTTTTTTGTGTATCTCAACAGTAGAACAACTCGAAAATAACTTTGTCAATTTTTCACTATTTTGGTGGAAGAAAAAAAAAACAAGAGTAAGTGAATTTTTCGATTTTCTATGTCTGAAAATAAGTGGAGCCTCACTTAGATATAAGTACTAAAATAAATTTTATTCTAATACGCGAAATTTATGTGAATTCATATTCATAAAATCTTTCAAGACATAACGCATCTTCGTACCATATTTTAAAAACATTCTTCAGATCGCTGAGCTTATATTTCCGTCTACTTAATATCGATAATATGTTACAATTAGTACTGTTTAATTTGGTCGACTGAATCGACGATAACGTTCCTCTGGTTAATTAGTTCATCAACTAGCTATAGCTAATCTAAATTAATCGGTGAAATTTTATAGCTGGTTAAATTAGGTAGTTACAGTCGAGTCTCGATATGAGCCCTATTAGTGTCTCTCTCATATTAACGTGAGTCTAGTTTAAAAAAAAAAAAAGAAAACAAATAGGACTCTAGATGCGTTCAAGGTTTTCCCACAAATTATTGTCATGGTCTTAGAATTGATCAGGTCACAATATATGAGAGTAAATCTTCGACCGATTTTAAAGTTATACAAAAAGGTAATGTCGCACCTCGGCTAACACTAGAATGCGTACATTCCTACGTGTGCTACCAGCCTAGGTCCGTACATAGGTACATAAACTATTGGAGAAAGGAAGGTTTTCGCATGAGAAACTTTTAGTTGGGACAAAAATGGTGGGCTCTCTTAAGTTGGCGGGGGAAATCAATTTTTTTAACTTTTTTTTTGGCCCAATCGTTTTGGCAAAAAAATAACGACCATGCGAAAGACCTCTCTTTCTCTCATAGTCTAATAGTCTATGTATGGACCTTGCTATATCAGCAGCTGTACCCCATTACATTTTGTTGTGCTGCAGTTACTTGTAGTGCATTTTGGAATGTACGCAATATTTAGAATCGCAATATTTAGAATCAGTTTAAAAACAGATTATTCAATTGGAAAAAAATGACCCTTATTTAAAGCTGACTGAAAAGAAAATAGTTTGTGTCAACTTCGACGCACGACTAGAGTTCTTACGACTCCATACGAATGATTATTATACTTTATACAGAATAGAAATAGAGGATGAATGTCCATGAAAATTAATTTAGCCGACATCTAAATAATTTTCAGAATTTGTTTTTATTGAAAAAAATAAAAAAAAAATTTCATTTTTAAAAAACTTGAAAAACTAGAAGTGCAATTTTAAAAAAATATATTTTAGTTTTAATTTAATAATTGAAAAATAATCAAAAAATTAAAAACGTCGGCTAATTTTAGTATTATGAATGTCCGCATCTTTTAAAATAATAGAAGCATCAACATGTCTATTCATATGTAAAAAAAAGTCCGGATAAATACATGCCGCGTGAATGTAAGGGTGTTACGGCTAGGTCGTAGTAAATGTATTTTCTGAAATTTTATTTTTCTAATTACTTTTTGAAAAAAATTTTTAATAAACTATTATAAAGCTTCCACATCGCTAATCTTATATTATTCTTCTGAAACTTCATTTTATTTAATTTCAAGATTTATGTAAGATGTAATTAGAAATAAAAAATTTCTGATAATACATTTACAACGGCCTACCCTCAACATTGAATAAAATTTTACCTCGGATTAAAAAACAGGCCCGAAATTTTCTACACACTAGTTGAGGATAAATCCATGTTTGTAGATGGAGACACCTATGAGTAAGGTATTAGATATGTAACATCACAACATCACATCGAACTGCTGATGTATTCAGAGTTTATATGTGTACATGCATTAGCTATCCAGTCCAGTCTGTCTATCATAGAGGGTTATGAGATATTTTTATCTATTCGAATGAGAAATGTAACAAAAAAAAAAAAAAAAAAAAAAAAAACAATAATACACCCAAAGTCAACTGTCTAAAACCCTAAAGAATGGTGAGAACTTGAAATATTTGTTAGTAAAATGCTGAAACGTTGGGTAAGTGACTATGTTGTCACTGAACATCGAGATTTACAGGTAAAATTATTATTTAAATTAAATACGTATACATAAACTAAAAGAATATATTCATTTCTTTAATTGTTATTCTTACGTTGTTTTTGAAGATTTTAAATTTAACTCTTTTCGAAATAATTCAATTAGAAATAAATCTTATTTAAATTACAATTACCAATGTTACCCATTGATTTTATAAATCCAGTATTTAATTTATTTATTTAAGAAAATAATTAATATGAAAATTTCATTATTTTTAGGCCAACACAATGGCATTGGATACTACTGGATCTTATGTCCTGTTAGCTGGGTAAGTAATCAATTTACAATAATCAGTTTTATTAATCTTAAAATTTTACATTATTTATTTTATTATTTTTTTTTATTCTATGATTTTTAGGCGCAGATTTTTAGCCATAAAAAAATTGGATGATAGTGATGAATTAGATTCATTAAAAAAATATCCACGACAAAGTAAATATGAAGTTGGCTCTGCTGAATGGAATCCTACTATAAGTAATTATCATTTTTGTGCCATATCTGTGAGTTTATTGTTTAAAATTAAATAGATCTATAGGGAGAAGTGAAATGTTCCTTGATTAAAATAAATTATATTTTAATAGAGTAACACAAGAATTGAAATTTTAAGTGTTGCCGGTAACAATAATCAAGATCTGCCAATAATTCACACTTTAAAAGGGCACAACAGAGTTGTTAGTGATCTAAATTGGCATCCTAAGGAACCTGATATTATAGCTTCTTGTAGTATAGATACTTTTATCCACGTTTGGGATCTGAGAGATTCCAGAAAACCGTCTCTGTCTTTGTCAGCAGTAGGTGAGAATAAGAAATTTTTTGTTTTATAAAATGACAGTTAGTTTATGCATTTGCTATCTAAATTTACTTGGAAAAAATCTATGCACTGTCAATAATTTAAGTTTTATGTAAATTTACATTCTTATCTAATCACTTGTATTTAACATAAGCAGCGCTTGGACTTCCTCAAGTTTCAATTTTTTTACCCTTTGTGTACTTCAAAAATGAGAAAACTGAAGTTACATATTCAAACTTATGGATATTTAAATACACAAATATGCACTTCTTTCAAAGAAATTGAATCTCTATAAAATAAGGAATTTGTTTTATTATAGCGGGTTCTTCGCAAGTAAAATGGAGTCCCTTACTATCTTATACGTTAGCCACAGCTCATGACGGTGATATTAAAATATGGGATCAGAGAAAAAGTAATAGTCCTGTACAATACATTGCCGCTCATTTAACCAAGATTCATGGATTAGACTGGTGTCCATTTCAACAAAACCAAATAGCTACCTCGAGTCAAGATTGCACTGTTAAAGTTTTTGATATTTGTAATCCTCGTAAAGTCGACAGTATTTTATCAACCAATTATCCTGTTTGGAGAGCCAGATACACGGTTTTATTTTTTTTTTTTTTTTTCATCATTAACTGAGCCAAGTTTTTTGAAATTAACATCATTTTTACTTTCTAGCCATTTGGAGAAAGTCTGGTGACAATAGTTGTTCCACCTCTGCGTCGAGGAGAAAATAGCCTTTTACTATGGAACATAGCAAATCTAAATACGCCAATTCATACTTTTGTCGGACACACGGATGTTGTTTTAGAGTTTCAATGGCGGCATCCTAAAGTAAACAGTAATGACTACGAGTTGATAACATGGTCGAAAGATCAATGCTTGAGGATATTCAAAATTGATGGGTTTTTAAAAAAATTATGTGGTCATGATATGGACGATGCTACATCCTTATATACCCAATACTCTGAAGATACAAATTTAAGTAAGTTAATACTCCTGCGATAATAATCCAGCTTACGTACTTGAGAAAATATAATTTTTTTTTGTTTTAATAAAAAGAAAGAATAGAATCATTTAATTAAAATACTTTCAAAGTTATAATAGTCGTGAAAACAAGTACAAACAAATTACTCAATTTTTCTATTTCTTTTTCTTCCAAGAAAATAAAATTTTGATCATTTCTTTCTAAATCATTAAAATCAAAATATGTATATGTATATTGTATACATATTTATTTTACAGGAGCATTACAATCTGTTCAAGATCTTCAACTGAATGACTCTCAAAATGATAATGAATTAAGTTATTCATCTTCTCAGGTTGATATGCAAATGATACCTAATGAAGCTAGTACCAATTTAGACCATGACAAAGAATTACCATCACCAACCCAACCAAAAACTTTACAACAAGAATTTTCATTAATAAATATGAATATTCCTAACATTGAACTGAATTCAATGGATGTTATAGAAAGAAGTTGTACAGTGACAGCGAGAAACAAAAACTATCATGTTATATTAAAAGTCAATTTTCCTGGAAACTATCCTTATAGTGCACAACCTACGTTTCAGTTTTGTTCGGGTACTACAGTTGACAATACAACAATGGCTAAATTATTAAGAGTTCTTAAACAAACTTCGCAACAAAGAGTTAAAAAAAATCGAACTTGCTTAGAACCTTGCTTAAGACAACTTATCATAACTTTAGAACAAACTTGTGTTCCAAGCGAAAGTGAATCTAATCTTTTAGATTATCACATTCAGTCTAATGCTGATTTTTTAAACTCAACGACTATTTGTACAAATTATCAAGATAATTATATTCCATTTCCAAGAACATCGGGTGCTAAATTTTGCAGTTTAGGAATTCTTGTTTGTTTCGGTCGCTCAACTTTTACCAGACGCTCGTTTGCTATTAAACCAGATGGTAGTACACCGCGTTCTCTTTCTGCTTTGGGAAATAGTGGGAATAATGGATCATACATGAATTTATATTCCAATTCATATGGTCAGTCTGGAGATACTATGTCAATTAGTTCATTTTATTTCCCCGAACGGGTATGTTTTAATTATTTTTTATGAATATTTTTACGTCAAATTCCACACTTAATTTTAATAATTTATTATCTATTATTTATTGTAAAATAGCAACAAAGGTCATCAAGAAAAAATGTTTATAATTCATCTGTAACTCAAAATCAGAATTGTTATAACAAAAATTATTATTCATTAGTTACTGTGTATGATACTTCATTATTATTTTTTGTAAACAAAGAACTTGCTGAGAAGTATATGTAAATACTCAAAACTTTAATGATTAATATTTAAATTAACAATAATTTATAGATAATATTTAAATCTTTTCCAGCTTAAATTTGTCAGAAATTCCGTCAATGTGTCAACATAATGCTAATGTCGCTTCATTATTAAATCGTCCTGATCTAATTCAAGCATGGTGTTTATCTGCACTTGTTATTTCGCCGTTATCAAATCCGTTACAAAATTTATGTCAAATTCAAGACATAGTTTTGCCTTGGCCACTTCATCCATTTGGACAAAAACTTGTACATTCTCTGTAAGTAAAGTGATATATTAAATTTATTTTCAATTATGATTTATAACAGTTTAAAATTAATATTTATAGGATTCAACATTATGTAAATCAATCAGATATTCAGATGGCTGGAATGTTGAGCTGTGTCTTTAGCGATCGTTCAGAAAGTCATGGCAATAGTCTGGGATACTTAACGAGTAAATCAGTCAATGTTAGCGTAAGTTATATTGATAATTTGTACCAATAATGCATAAGATGTATAGAGTATTCTGTATTCTGGGAAGTATATCAATTTAAATAGAATGTCGCATTTAATTAACAGTACTTGATTAGCTACTTTATGAACTTTATTGTTATGATGTTTAAAATATAATTAGTCCTCAACATTTATTGCCAGTAAAAAGTTATAAGTTGAAAAATTAAATAATTATATATTAATGAAAAAATTATTGACAAGACATGACAATTTTTGAGTAGTAAAAATCGATCAGTAAATAATACTGCTATTTTTTTTTTTAAGCCTGGAAGTTCTCCATATCACACAATTCATCATGCGGATACTAGCTCAGAAGGCTGGAGTGTTCAAAACTTGAAATACAATCGATCAAGTTCATGGTCCGAATCATTGGATGATTCAAAAACTTTTCCAGATTCTTTAAATGATACAGGCCGCAGTATTCGATTATTGGATGAAAACAATACTTTATTGTATGACCGTTACAAAAAAGTTTATGCAGAAGTTCTTCACAGGTGGAGACTTCTTGATGGAAGGGCTCAAATTTTAAAACATGTTAGTGCCTCCCACCTTGACTCGCAGAAAGATGTTAAACTTCAAAGCGAGTGTCATCTTTGTAAGCAAACAAATCGAGAACCACAATGTACTAGTTGTAAACGCTTAACGTTTCAATGCATTATTTGTCATATTTCAGTTAAAGGTGAGTAGGTAATTAATACTGTAGTTGTATAATAATCTTCTTTTTTTAATTATATTCAATTATATTTTAGGCCATAGTACATTTTGTCTTATTTGCGGCCACGGTGGGCATACGCAACATCTTGCAGCGTGGTTTACTAATGAAAGAGTTTGTCCAACAGGTTGTGGCTGTGCTTGTCTTCAGGAAAGTACAAATTTGTTAAAATCATAGAAATTGATCAAGTTATAAATAAATTATGTATAAATTTAAATACTTTCCAGATGCTTCCTATCAGTATTAAGTGTATATAGAATTTAGATATACATTTTTTAAACATCAAAGTTGTGTGAAAATGAATCTATGATATAAATTTAACATTGAGTTTGATTATTAACATTTCAATAACAACTGTAATTTTTTAGCAAATCCATATTATTTATAAACCATAATAACTTTATACATCACAACAAATTATCTTGAAATATCGTGACGTTACACAAAAAGAAAAAAAAATTGCCGTGATTCATTGGGAATTACTACTGATACTGAAAAAGCAACAGTCACGCAGAAAAGATTTCTTCACCATAAATATATTGCCTATGGAAACTATACACTATGTGTAGAGTCTCCATAATATTGCCGTTGATTACTTTCAAATACAGCGCTCTGCTGTATAGCTGACTGTGATAATTAGTCGGCTGTTCAAAGCGAGTAGCCTACAAAATCTAGCCAGTTTTACCCGGTTTTGGTAAATTTCGATACCCAACCGGTTAGTTAAAAATTCTAATAAGAATCTAACGGTGGATTTAATTTGTATATAAATTATAAGTAAACAAAAAAAATGGGAATTAGAAATTAAATATCTCCAAAACTTACATTTTTTTTATTTATTTATAATTTATAATTCATTAGAATTATTTTCTTTTTTTTTTTTCTTTTTTATTTGTTTAAAGTCGCATAAACTACTAAGGTCGTGAGCGACTACGGTAGGGAGTAAATTTTTGTGGTTGGACTCGTTTTATTTTTTTGAGCTGAGCAGCATAATACACTTAAATATTGAAAATAGTCATTGATGTACGCCGGGCTCGAACCCGGTCCAATGCTTTAGTAAGGGCCGGATCCGATACTCTACTGCGCGCCTAGTAGAATTCTTAACTAGTCCGGTTGGGTATCGAAATATACCAAAATCATAATTTTCCGAGTGCTTTCTGGTAAATTATGGTAAATTGACTAGATTCTGTGGGCTAAAGACATTGCAGCCGAATTTAAGGAGCAGATGGGATCATTAGGGTAAAGGTAAGTAGAATAACTGTTTAGAATTCGAATGCATAACAGTGCTATTGGAATGGATACATTATTTCGGGAACTGGATCCTCAGACTAGTATACCGTTAGCAATCATAACCCGTGTAAGTCGGGTAAAAGAGGATGCGATCTGCTTATCTTTGGGAAGTCAAATCCTAGAAACCAGAATGTTTCGAACAACCTGAGGTAAAGGAATCTAGCTTTGTAAAAGTTTCACGTTTGTAGTTACGATATTTTAATTAGTAAAAATTACTAGTCATTAGCTTTATTTGGGTGAATCATTAAATTAATTAATTGATGCAATGCAGAAAAAAAACTTGTAATTTTTATTTATTTATATTTTTTATGTTTTATTTGATAAAACTTTCTTTTTTTTTTTTTACCAGAGCTGAGTATTTTAATTCTCCCGGGCGAATGGACTTTATTGTGGAGCTTGAAACGACATCTGCCTCGCTGTTACAGCGAAAAGGCTCCACTTCCCAAAATACTTCACGATAATGTGATGCCTCTAGATGCATCCAGCAGGTTACACTACCTGCCAGCGAAGCGCGAATTTAAATGTAAGATAGATTATTTTAAATATTTTATTAATTTATAATTTAGCTCGCCGAGCTCAAAAAAATAGCTTTTGTATGTTTTTGTGCTCTTCGAGCATAAAAGTTTGATAAAACACTATTTTTTGAATTTTCAAATCGCAATAAGTTTTGAATGAATGAACCGATTTTCACTCGGTTCATTAGTTTTTGGAATTGATCGGTAAATCCGTTTAAAAGTTATTCCAAAAAAACCACTTTTGAAAAAAATTTTTTTTGTAGTTTTTCTGCGATTTCTCAAAATCTACCAGTCCAAATACTTTCAAAGTATATTAAAATCTAAGTTCAGTCAAGCCCTTTCGAATGGCACCAACCGCGATCAAATCGGTCAAGCCGTTCAAAAGTTACGAGAGGTTTATATATATATATACACACACACACACACACACCATCGCGGGAATAGTCAGGGAAGCTTCCTAGGACCTCGAAACGTCGAGAATCGATGAAAACTCGATTTTCGTAAAACAATAACTTCCCGACAAAAACAATCTTCGATTTTCTTAGCGAGAAGTTAAAAATTTTTCAAATGTGGTTTTATGGAATAACTTTAAAACAGCTTTACCAATCGATTCCAAAAACTAATCAGCTCTTAACATTAAAAAACTACGTCGATCGCCGCCAAGCTGGTCAAAATCGGTTAATTCATTCAAAAGTAATTGCAGTTTGAAAATTAAAAAAATAGTGTTTTATTAAACTTCCATCAGACTTTTGAGCTCGAAGAGCTCATAAGCTTAACAAGAGAGCTCACTCTTTGAGCTCGACAAGCTCAAAATAACACATAAATTATATATTTGAGCTTGAAAAGCTCAAAAACGTCATAAGTGCAATTTTAAGTGCTTAGATATGGAATTAGCGGGAAGTTGCAGAGATGGCCTTTAGGGTCAACCGTTTTTCTAATTTTTTTCATAAACTTGAAATCATATATGTTAAAGTTTGGCAAATTAAATTAATTAATAAATAGAAATTCAAGATAGTTCTGATAATTATAAAAATTAAATCGTTTCGAATTTTATTTTATTAAATTAAGTTTCCCGCGCTAAAGCCGAGTATTTTAATACTCTTGGGCGAATGGACAACAGTTGATAAATTTTTATGCAAAATAATTCAATATCCACCAGATGGAGGCATAACAATAGCTAACCACAGTAAAATCTCATTTGGTATAGTTATATTTCGTTTCCAGTCACCAACAATAGTGAAAAAGACAACCTGCGAAACTTTATAGCGATTTTACTTATATTGCAGAGAAAAATTTTTTTTTAAATTTAAAAAAAAAACGAGGCTCAAAGTTCGTATTATGACTATAGAGGGTAGAGGTACCCCTAACCTTTCATATTTATGCCGAATGTACCGACCAGCCTTGACTGACGTGTTGATGACTACATATCTGTGATTTACGGTGTAGTGCAAAATTTAAAAAAGATCGAGTAAGCTTTTTGTATTGTCTATTTTTTATTTTATAATTTATTATGATTCATAAAAATTTAAGAAAAACCATATAAATTTTGAAAAAAATCCGTCTTTATCAATATGTAATAATTAGATGATACGTGTTAATACATCAATTGTTTTTATGGTTCTGAAGTTCAATGATTTGTCAGAATACAAAAAATTCTAGATTTAAAAAATGAGGAATTTTTAGTGTTCCGATTCTTCGCGTGTGTCAATAAAATAAATATGCTTATTAGGGAATGAGTATTTTTTATAATTCAAAATTAGTTTTGATTTATAGTTATTCAAGCTTAAACAAATGATGGATTCTAAAAATCAAACAATTTTTTTAAATTCTTTAATACTATCAATTTTCTTATCGTAAATTCGATACGAAACAGAACTTTAAAATCTCTAATTAATTAATATATTGATAATCAAAGATCTTAATTGATAATCTAAAAAATCAGACATGTAGATTTTTTAAACATCTACAAACACATTTTTTTCAGAAGTAGAATTTGAATTTCAGAAACATCAGTGAAAAATTGTTTAAAATTAAGTAAAAAATTACTTACTACGTTATATAAAAACAAAATAATCTTATTGATGTAAAAAATGAAAAGTTAAATTTCCTATTTTCAAAATTTACAAATATTAATACACAAGAGTTTGTTTATGGTGAAATAAATATAATTTTTTACATAAAGACGAGTATAAAAAAAAAATAAATAAATAGTTATTATTATTGTTGCAGAAAATGTTTCAAGATGACAGTTCGTCAAAATCTGACGAATTTGACGATGATATCGTTTATGTGGATGAGATGGAAGAAGTATTCGATAATTCCGAATCAGATCCAGAAAATGGTCAAATGGAAGCAGATGATGCTGAAACGGACGATGCTATAACTGTTTTTAGACATCATAACGGTATAATGAATTTTCCATTATTGTTATTAAGTTCAAACTAACATTGATAATTTTTTCTTACATCATCTATATTGTAGATGCAATCATTTGCGGATCTTTATCAAATGATGGAAAGATTGCAGTTACTGGAGGTCAAGATGATGTTGCTTTTGTTTGGGATACATCATCAGGAGAAATGATTTATAAATGTTCTGAACATACGGATACTATTATTTTTGCTGAGTTCAATTTTGATAATTCTTATTTAGCTGTTGGAGATATGAATGGTTTTATTCAGGTGTGGGAAATGAAAAGTAAAGTTATTGTTTGGGACTTTAATATGGGTGATGCGGCGGTAAGTAACTTGATAATTAATTTTAATTATCAAAAATTATGTATTGCATCAAAAAATTTTTAATTTGCAGTGGATGAAATGGCATAATTTAGCAAATGTTATTTTGGCTGGTAGCACAACAGGTGAAACATATATGTGGAAAATTCCAAGTGGTGAATGTAAAGTTTTTCAAGGATATGGTCACAAAAATGAAATTGGAGCTCTTACACCAGATGGTATTTCTATAATTTTTTAAGCTGATTAATTATTTAGTAATTTATCACAATTATTCATTTTTAATTAGGAAAGAAGCTTGTTGCGGGTTACGAAGATGGAACAATACGTGTATTAGATTTAAAAGGGGGTGTTGTAGAATCAACGATACCGGCGAATACAGCACACTCTCAAAATATTATATGCTTAGAGTGCCAAGTCGATGGTAAATTGATGATGTCAGCAGCGCAGGATGGAAGAACAGTTATTAGTACAGTTTCAAATGGAAAGATTATTAATGTTCTCCAAAAACTACAAGATAATAACACAGTTGAAATAGACAAAATAGATGATGAAGGAGCTGAATCTGAACCTCGAAAAAATTGGGTTGAATCAATAAGATTTTGTAGAAATCTTGAACTTCATTTAGCTGCTACAGGAACTATTGAAGGAGAATTATTTATTTGGGATATTTCTAAGCAAGTAATACGACATAAAATAACTCAAGAAAGTGGTATTGTTAAACTTGAATGGATAGGAAATTCGCCATTGTTGTGTACAGCTGGCTTAGATGGCATCGTAAGATTTTACGATGCAAGAACGAGTCAATGTCTCAAAGTACTTTATGGACATTCTAGAAGTATTCTTGATTTAAACGTTGCCAAGTAATTATTGAACTTTTTTTTATTTTAATTTTTTTTTATTATTGTGATTCATTATCTGTATTATTTTGTTTTAGGACTCAAAACAAAATTTTAACAACATCTGATGATGGCACAGCTCGAATTTTTGATATTTCTGTCTTATGATAAGATTAACAAAAAAAAATAAAAATATGTATAAATAATGATTTTGTATCATTTTCAACATTGATTTTTTCCAAATTTTTTTTTTTTTTTTTATCTATTAACTGAAACTAAATAATAAATTTGTTATCTGACGATTATTTTTATAAACAACAACGAGGGAGAGTATAAAAAGCATAAATTAAAGAAATCTTAATTCTTTCTGGAAACAAACAAGATTATTTTCATCACTCATATATTTTTTTATACTATAAGATTATTAATCAGAGTGTTAATAACTTTTAAATTACTAATAGTGGAAAAAATTATATCTCAGTATTATTTTTCAACAAATGAAGTTTATCTCGATACCATTGTTCCTCAAGAGAATGTCTTTTTCCATTCCAATTAAAATGTGTAGGGGCTTGATTCTCACCATTGTCAAATTCAAAATATGAACTTAATTCTATACCGAGTTTTGATCTGATAAGACCTATTCCATTTGCTGTTATTGGTCCTGGATGATAAACTTTCCCAGTTTGAATGTTCATAAATAGTTTGTTTGGCTCGAATGGTACCTATTTCAGGTCAACTACTTTATAGTATTCTTTTGAGTAAAATACAAAATATATTATCGAAGCAATAAAAAAAAAAAAAAAAAAAAAAAAAAAAAAAAATACGAACCATTAAAGAATCTTCCGTATAGCCATAACTTAAAAAGTCTGAACCATTTTTGTATTGAATTACATGAGTAAAAACTATTGGCAAATTATCACATCTTACATAATTTATTTCTTTGCCACATAATGATAAATATGGAAAATCATTGGCATACCGATTTGAATCATTTATCTTAAGTCGTTTGAAAAAAAACGTAAGAAATTTTTTTTCTAGAAAAAAAATACAGACCCGTCTCGTTATGAGTCCTATTAGGGCCAGTTTTTCAATCAATGATTAAAATTAAACTATCATTGTGAATATATCTATATGTTTGATGTATAGATATATTAACAATGATAATTAAATTTTAATCATTCATTGAAAAACTGGCCCTTAATGTCTCTCATATTAACGCGAGTCTGGTTAAAAAAAAAAAAAGATAACAAATGGGATTCATAACGAGACGCGACTGTATTCAAATATTTGTTATGATTATTCTTAAGAGAAAAAAAAAAAAAAACCTTACACTACTTTCAATTCTTCGATAATTTTATGTCCAACGTCAAAAAAATTTTTTTTACATATCCATGGATATTTGTTAAAAATCTTTTTGAAATCTCTAAATTTCTTTTAGAAATTGTTTTGTTTTCATAATGTTATAAATTATTGACAATAAATAAATTCAAAATATTTTTTAAACTACTGATTAAAAATTTTTGTAATAAAAAAATTTTGTTAAATATCAAAATTGCGAATTAAAAGATGTGAATATAACTTGAATTTTAAATTGAAAAGTTTAATTCATTTGTTTTTCACAATAAACATATGAATTTATACCTCGACAAACAATTAAGACCTAAAATTTTACTGGAACTAAACTGATGTTATTACCTTTAAAACAAGATGTAAAATTTTTCATCCGAGCATCATCTAAAAATAACTGTAAATGAGAATAAAAAACATTAATAAAAGTAAAATAAATGTTAAATACTTTAATAATATGTATATAATACCATTCCTTGATGATTGATAAAATAAAAATATTCTCGTATGCGAGGTTTTGGCGACTGACCTTGTATATAAGTAACCAAGGACTGAGTGCTAGAAATTTGAATAAGACGTGAATACTTCAATATATTCATCATGTTTTTAATGCTCAGGTTTTTATAAAATTTTTAATAATAATCTTTAAAGTCAATTATAAACTGTTACAAAAATTCATCAAATTATTCTGTTTGAAAAAAAAATAATTTGAGATATTTCCATGATCCATGATTAATATTAATTCTTATACAGAAAAAAAATTTATTTGAGTAAAATCCTTTTTAGGGTATACGACAAAGCTAATTAAATTCATAATAATTTTACAACAGAACAACTATCTTTATATGGTGAGACAAGTTTAAGTTTACATTAATAATGATTACTTAACATATTTATTAGCTAAGTGTTTATATTATTATTACTTATTAAAAAACAACTAAACAGGAAAATTTTAATGTTTTACCATGAAAAAACGACAAATATGACATCTAACGACTTGACTTTGAAGTACATGCAACAATGTGAATTATCAGGTACATACGAGCAGCAGGCAGCAGCGAGTATGGAGGCTATAGGCATCGTATCTGTTTAGTTCCTATAACGGGGAGAAAACCAGCTTCGGGAATTATCGGCCTTAATTTTTGTTCTGTGTATAGTAAAATACTCTAGCCTCGGGTCTGATGGTATTGTGATCGAAATTTTTTACCATCTCAACCTCAAGCTATTTATTTAATAATATCTCAAGTCTCAAGTGATCTTAAATATAAGTTTCCACTTAATATTTTCTCAATTCAATCAACACGTCACTTGACTTCGTGCTACCCACCAATGAGTGGATTAAAAAAATAAAATGCAGCAAAGGATAATTGTATTAAATTTATAAAAATCTTGAGCGTATCTTAAGAAAGAGACTGCAGTTTATGACTTATTGTTGTTATTATGTTCTCATCCTAAATTCGCCTAAAAAATTATATTGACCATATATTGTAATTGTAAATAATTAATTATGCAGCCAAACTTTACTAATAAAGATAATTTTGTTGTTCTTGGCTTTTACGTTAAGTTTATTGTTTTCATCAAATGAATTTAGTGTACAATTGAATTATAATTCTAGTAGAATGGCTACGTCAACTAAAAAATCTTGGAAACTCCGTAAGTAAAATGGGTCCAATTTCTAATTAATCTTATTTCGATTTACATAATGATTCGCGTATTTATATGCATATAACTACGTGTATGTCTATATATATATATATATATTTATGCAAACATACATCTGTAAATTTTTTATCTACTTTATTTTTATTATACTAATTATTATTATCATTTTACAGAAGATTTTACTGCTCATACTTCGAACGTTAATTGTCTTGCACTAGGTCACAAATCGGGAAGAGTTTTAGTGACTGGCGGAGATGATAAGAAAGTTAATTTGTGGGCAGTAGGAAAACAAAATTGTATAATGAGCCTAAGTGGGCATACTACTCCTATCGAATGTGTACGCTTTGGGCAAACTGAAGACCTTGTTTGTGCTGGTTCTCAAACTGGAGCTTTAAAAATATGGGACTTGGAACATGCGAAATTAGCTAGGACACTTACAGGACATAAAGCTGCAATAAAGTGTATGGATTTTCATCCGTACGGAGAATTATTATCATCAGGAAGTTTGGATACTGGAATTAAATTGTGGGACATCAGGAGAAAAGGTTGTATTTTTACTTATAAAGGCCATGATGAAATAGTTAATAGTTTGAAATTTAGTCCTGATGGACAATGGATCGCTAGTGCAGGAGAAGAAGGTATGGTTAAGTTATGGGATTTAAGGGCAGGACGACAGTTAAAAGAGTTTACAGAACATCGAAGAGCAGCAACAACTGTTGAATTTCATCCTCATGAATTTTTACTTGCCAGTGGAAGTTTAGATAAGACAGTTCATTTTTGGGATTTGGAATCCTTTCAATTGGTATCTTCCACAGAACCTAATTCATCAGCAATAAGATGTCTTCATTTTAGTCAAGGTGGAGAATGTTTGTTTACTGGAAGTCAAGATCTTTTGAAAATACATTGTTGGGAACCAGCACGAACATTAGATACAGTACCTACGAACTGGGGTAAAATTCAAGATATTGCTATCGCACAAACTCAGTTGATTGGTGCGAGTTTTAATGGTTCCAATGTGATGTTATTTGTTTGTGATTTAAAAAAAATAGCACCTTTTACTAATTTTTCTCAATCATCTTCACCATTTGCTCACGGAAATCCAACAAGGAGAAGTTTTACAAAAGAAAATTTTAAAAAACCTTTGTAAGTATTAATGACGATACTGTTATAATGAATTTTTTATTAACTATTTTTTATTATTGTTTCTATTTAGAGTGAATGTAAAAACAACTATCGAAGAGGGTAAATTAGGATTTGAGCATGAAGACGAAATTCGGCCTGTTGAATTACCTTCTTTAGCTAATTGTGAAGATATTTTTCAACCTCATCGTTCATGTAAGCATAGACGTTTAAAATTATAATGTTTAAACTGTATTGTTTTGTGGTCTAAAATAATTTGAGTACTAAATTTTTTTATAAACAATCTTAATATTACTAATTTTGGGCCTTATATTTGAGTTATGTACTTTTTGTGAATGCGCATGAATTGCATGTTATGTTTTAGTGTCTCGGACACCTCCACCAGAGCCTGAGACTGCTGCAAGGCCTCATGATTTTGGTAAGGAATAAATGTTTTTACGTTTTGTAAATTGACAATCGTTTTTAACTTTGAATGTATTTTTTTAATATTACATGTTTGATATGTTCTATGTATGATTGATATTCTGTTGCATAGTTTTTTATCTTTCAAGTATCTTGAGAGACTTGGTAATTTTTTTTTTTTTTTTTTTCACTGTAATGTGATATTTATTTTTGTTTTATAGATCCTACACAACCACAAATTATTCACAATCTCAGTACGTCAATGACGAATCTGAATACTACGGAAGAATTAAGTACTGTAGATAATTTAACATCTTCAAGTTCATTAGAGCCATCGACGTTATTTACAAAACCTGTGTCTGTTCGCAACAGTTCTATAAAATCATCACCACCCGTTCAAAGACACTTGATTCATTCAAGCAGTCAAGTTAAATTAAATTCACAGTGTTTAAATAATAGTATTGGTAGAAATGTTAAAAATTTTGCGCAAATTCCACCTTTAAGACAAAGCATCACACCATTCACTGGAAAAAAATCTACACCTAATAATTCAAATATTCATCAACCTATGGGGCCTCAAAGATCAAATTCTACTTTGACATCTCGAGTTGCACCGATGGCAGCAGTCGCTCCAGTTGTCGGAGGTGATGGAAAATCGAAAAGTCGTGCACCAAGTCCAGACTCTCCAAAACATTTTTTCAAACGACAAAGTAGCTGTCAAGACAGTGAACATGGTTATGAAAGTGATTTTCCAGTGAAAATAAACACTAATATAAGACACAGTCCTTCAGATCCGGCTTTAAATCGACCAAATACTGGGCAAACCCGATCAAATTCAATAGCTCGAAATTTTATCAACTCTGGACCACTATCAGCTAGAAACCTATTAGCTGTTAAAAAAAATAATCGCGCTCAAGTACCTCCTAGTCCAAAAGTAGATATAAGAACATCACAACCGAGGCCTATTGAAACAATTGAGAACGATGAATTTGTGCCAATAATATCAGATAAACCAATTGGTTTAGAGATGGAAGACTTCTTACCAAATAACCTTGCAGGATTGGGAAGACTTGGGTATAGCCAGAGACTAACTGAAATATCAGAAATTGAAGTTATCAGTAGTATAACCAGAGGACATGATTCCATGATGATGGTTTTAACAAATCGTCAAAAATCTCTTCAAATTATTTATTCGTTTTGGCATAATAAAGATATAAAGTCTGCCATTGATTCTGCGGTTAGAATGAACGACTTATCTGTCATTGTTGATCTTTTAGGAGCTCTGAATTTGAAACCGTAAGTTGTAAATGCATTCAATTTTTTATTTACCTTAAATGGTTGTTAATTATTCATTATGTAAAATAAGTTTGGATAATTTATAATTACTATTAATAATAGTAATATCGTGAAAATTGACGATTAGAGCGAATTTTTTTTTTTTGTTTAAATCGAATTTTCAGAAAGAAATAAAGAAAAATTTTGCGATCTCTAGGTAGTTTGACAATTAAGTTTCTGTCAGAAAAAAATCAATAGGCCTGTAAGTGACTTTAATGATCGTTGTTTAAAAACAAAACCAATTATAAAAATTCCTTATTCATACAGTGACATTATAGATACCAATTATTATTATTATTATTTCTTTATTCATCGACCATGAAGTCAAAACTTCTTGCGGCCATCCATACAAAAATAATACATAGTATATCATTTTATGAAAACAATCAGAAGAAAAATAGATGTAATAATTAAAGATAGAAAGTGTACATATGTTATTAAAGTTCAAATTATATTTGAACAGTTCAATCAACATAAATGTAAATGTAAATGTAAATGTAAGATACCAATTGTTTTTGAAAAACGGTCACTCAAATCGCGTATAGCTCTATTGAGATCTTCTTCTAGCGAAAACTTTACCGGTGTGTTGACTTTAATAAATTTTTATAATAAAATAAATTGATGAAAAATGTAAAAAATTATAGTCAATTGATAAAAGAAATACATAAAGTTGAATCGCAATGGGTTTCTCGGCATCGACCACAAAAAATCAAAATTTTTTTTTAAATAAAAAAAAAAAATACAACTTGATAAACAAATGAAAATTAAAAAAAAAAAAACGTTGTGATTTGTGTGATTTGGGGGAAAAAAAAATCCATTTGTTAAGGGGAAATTTAATTTCAAAGTTTTCAACTATTGTACAAAAGCAACAAGAACCGTATATTATTTCTTTTAATGAGTGCGAAGAGAAAAAAGGCATAAACGGCTCTTGAGAGAGTTAATTTTGTTACTAATAAGCACTGTCTCTCAAGATTACAAAGTTACGATGTAACAAGGCAGCTAAGCTATGACGAAATATTTTTGCATAATATAAATCAAGTAGAAATAAAAAGTTTACTCCGAGGTTCTTCTATATGCATGTTCAATTTTATCAAAAAGCTATTCTTTTAGTTCTACTATAATTTTAAAACTGAACTCTGTGAAAGCAATAAAAATTTTATCATATCGCATAATGAAAGATGAATTCAGTTGACTCATATTCTTTTTTGACATAGTGTTAAATCTAAAGTTTATTTTTTTTTTAATTTTAATCTGAATTAATAATAAAATTTCTTATTCCAACAAAAAATATCTAATAACGAATTTTTAATTTTGTATTTTCTAGAACTGTTTGGAATTTGGATGTATGCAATTTACTACTCAGGCCAATTACTGAACTGATCCAGAGTAAATACGAAATGTAAGTTAATTATTAGTATTTCTAGATTTAAATTAGTGATTTATTTCACTATGTACGCCCGTCACCATATAAATAACTTGAAAGTTAAAAGACTATAAAAGTTTGAGCGCATCTTGCTAGTGGTTAGGTTATTATATTTTAGCCACAAACTTATTATTTTTTTCCTTATAATGCTCTGAAAATAAAAAGAAAGTAGATGTTAAAATTACACTCTTATATTTCATGGCACAATGCACAATATTAAATAAATGTTAAATAAAATGATTTATATTTAAAAGAGACAGTTCTCATGTGTATTATTACTGATATTACTATCAATAAAAGACAACTGTGTAATATAAACTCGAAAAATATTCTTATTGTTAACATTTATAATACAATATCCATCCCATACACGCACATGTAAATCTTCTCACGAATAAAACCAGTTGTCTTTCTACTGCAATAAAACCTTTTTTGTTCATACTTTTGCGTATAGGAAAAGCTAATTCAATATTTTAAACCCAACGCTGCAGTTTAAATAGAGAACGACGTAGGGTTACTGGAAAATTAGCCAAGACAATAAGATACAGTAGCAGATGCAAATTTTTACATTGAGATTTTCTAACGTGTATCTATTATTGAATAATGGATTGAAATTTTAAAGGGCTTACGAGTTGCACCCATATGTTGATACTTTTTTTTTTTTTTTTTTATTATTAATTTTCAATAGGATTGCTCGTCACACGATAGACAACAGACACGTGCTTGTTTGTCTGTTGAAATTTATTTTATTATGTCCATGCTAGATATCAAGTGTATTGATATTTCTTTTTTTTTTTTTAAGTTTATCAAAAATGGAATAAAATTTAAAGAACCAAAAAATGAAATTTTCGTATTTTATCGAATTGTTTTCTTTTTTACTTATAGAATATAAAAAAAATTCGCTAATATCTATTCTTCGATAATTAATTGCCAAAAACCGAATGGACCTCTCTTCTAAACATAAAATTATTAACAATAATTATTACCAAGGTTTTTCACTTATTTATTATTGATATAAAAGTAATTAAATATTATTAAAGTTTTTTTAGTTCGTGTCAAATCAAAATGATAAGAAGATAAAGAAAATTAATTTTTTCATGTTCGTGAAGATCTTGATTTAAATTATCAAAAAATTTATTTAATCGTCCGAATTTTAGAGTTTCAATTTTTAAATTTTAATGAATTAATTTATATATTAAGTTATCATGTGAGGCTTATAACTTGACAGTTTTGTATAGAATAGTTAAGTTTGCATAACTACATGCTTAGTTTCACGGTTCATTTGCTACACTATTTACAACGTATCGCCCGACCCCAAATTCGTGAGAAAAAAATTTCAGCCATAAATCTTCATGTATGCTTTTTACAACATATTATTTAATTGACATGTATTGTAGAATATAGTTATAGACGCATCGATAAAATTTATAAAAAAAGCAATATCTACTTATAGTAAAGTTAATCTATTATTTTTTATAGAAAATATATTATTTATATTACTTATTACGACGCTAAACAGGAATTTATTGCTGTCATTTTAAATTTGTCATAGTATTTCAAGAATAAGCCTTTGAAAAACCCTTTATTGGTGTACAAAATTGAAGCGAGTTAAATTAGAACATTCGCGAGCCCCCGTTATATATTACAATTGTTATGCTTCAATAAATGTTCTCTAAACTATAAGGCGTTACTACTTAGTGGGTGGCTACTGATCAAAATTATACAAATAAATAAAAATACTAAATTTTAATAAAAAAATATATTTTACAGTATCTTAAATAATACATTTTTTCGATCATCTTGTAAATTGAGAGATTATACTAAAACTCGTTTTACTTGTAGGTATGTGACGGTTGGTTGCACGGCGTTGAAATTGATTTTGCGGAACTTTGCTTCAGTGATTAAGTCAAATGTCGAGGCGCCATTGCATACCATTGGCGTAGATGTTTCCCGAGAAGAAAGGTAATTTTTAATTAATATTTTGTAATATATTTGGTAATAAGATACCTTTTTCTAATTAGGTCTAGTTTAGAGATATTCATCACGAAAAGTAAACTATTTATAAATTTTGATGATAATCATTATTTGAAGAAACTTTATACAAAATATAAACAAAAAAATTGTTATTTTTGCTTTAAAAAAAAAAAAAAAAAAAAAAAGAACAAAATGAAATATTTCACGTGTAGTAGGGTAATAAGGCCTATATCGGTTTAGTATACTTACTTGAATAATTAAACTATATGTAATGTATTTGGTATCGGGAATCAATAATCATATTAATTTTGAAATAATATTATGATTATTGATATTAAATACCAAAGATATTTAACTATTCAATTATGTTGAAGCAGGCCATATATTAACCGACTATAGTAAAATAAGGCCTAATTGTAAGGTTTTTTAAAATGTTTAATTTTATTTTTGTTCGTAGCAATAGTTACTATTTTTTATTTATATTTTATAAAAAATGTCCTTAAATAATGATTAACATGATGAATAATTTGATAAAATTGAATAATTTTCATTTTATCATAAATATCTCTAAACTAGGTCTTATTATCCGCCGGTATCTTGTATTCTTTAAATGCAAAAACAAAAAAAAATATGAATTTGATTTTTTTCATATAGATATCATAAATGTCTATCATGTTACGAAAAACTAGAAGCAATGAGGACTTTGATAAAGAAAAAGCAAATGAGCTCAGGACAAGTTGGGTCATCTTTCCGTGAAATAAATGTTCTCATGAATACGCTAGTGTGACCGAGGCGATTACAAGCCGTTGTTTCTGCGGTGCTACAAAAAACTTCCAAAAAGTGTAAGAATTGCCAATCTCATGAATTGAGACTGAAATAAAAGCCTATTGTGTACTTTAGTGCATTTGTTTGACCTCGCGGTTGCCGACTAGTCTTTCCGAGAGATGGATGAATGGAACAAAATTTAAAAAGTATATTTTTTTTGTTCAAAAGTGATCTATGTTAACAATCTATTGTTATATTATTTTTAATGCCATATACTCATGAATATTATATAGATAAGAAGAATAGACTTTTAAATATATATAATAAAATTTACAGTAATTAGATACAGCCTGATTAATAAAAACTTATGCTAATAGTTTTTCTCTGTATCTTAAACGTTATAGTACTATCGATCAATAATGTGCGGGATCATGAATAATTAAAAACATTAAAAACAGAACAGATCGAAATCGGTGTACTTGGTGTGAGATTCCAATTAATTTTATTACACTCTTGCTGATGTTAAAACATTCAGTTTTTACTCCATATATATCATTTCTATTATTTCTATTATTGAAACTTGAATATTATTACAGTTAGTTCATCAAAAAGGAAAAAATTTTTTTAAATATATTAAAATAAATATATAACTTTTATTTATCGTAATAGTAGATCTTGTGAATTAACAAAATAAACCAACTATATATTGATAATAGTGGCATAAAAGATTTTGAAAGAATATCGCAATAAATTTTTAAAAAATCTGACGTATCTTGACAATCACGATGAAAAATTGTGTTTGTTTATTTATTTTTTAAAGTTAATCTAAAAAAATTGGATAATAAATTTTCTAGATGATGAAAAAAAGTAGCAGTCACTTTTATGTTTAAAATTGTGTAGTTGTTTCTTTTAAATATTCTTATATTTTAAAAAAAAATTGATCGTAATTTTTCCAATTATTTAAATTTATATATGTATGTATGTGTACTAAAAGATATGTAAATTAGCAAAGTGGATAAATACTGGCCTGCAAAGTTGTAGGACTTGAGTTCAAGTTCAAAAACAACTTTCATTGTTTATGCGAATATAAATTCATGGTATTATAATAAACGATAACTTTTATAACGATCTAATTATTTTTAAACAGTAATTTCGTTATATTTTAAAAGAAAAAAGAAATTATAGATAACTTTTAAATATTAAAGTATTCTAATAATATTAATTAATAAGATCGTTTCATGGTTAACTCTTTGAATCCGTCCAAAAATTGAATAATTTTATATATAAGTGAGAGAAAAATAAACACATAGCATGTACTTAAAAAGTGTATTTAATATTTCTAAAAATTATACTCAACTAAAATTAATTACTGAAAAAAAAAATCTTATTTGATGTAATATTTCTTTTCTTATTTAAATAAATTCATTATTGCATACGATGTTCTATAATATGGTCATTGAGACTGTAAATTACGTCTTCTCAGATTATAGCTGCCAAGACAAATTAATGAAAAAACAAACCCATGGAGTATAAAAGAAATGTAAAAAAATAAGTATCTTTTTCAAAATAATTATAAGTTTAATTCAAATATTGTATATAATTGTAAAGAAAAAAAATGAGCTCTAACTTTTTGATATTAATTTCTTTTAATTATAAATTTTAAAATTGTTTTTATTGTAGTTGAAATTATTTTTTAAAAAAAATTATTTATTCGAAAAAATTAATCATGTAAAAATGTAGTAAATTAAGTATAGTTGTTGATAATATGAACTTAAAACAAATACATTAATTTCTTATGGTGAATAAATAAAAATTTTCTATTATTTTTTTACAAATCCTTAAAGCTGAAATGTTGATTTTTTAGAAAAAACTTAAGTGAAATCATGTAAGGATTAGAAGTGATGTCTAATACTTTTTTTTGCTAGTCATCCATCAATATTTTTTTCATTCATGCACATAGAAAAAAGTAATGATAACATAAAATGCTAGATATCACTATTTTCTTCAACTTTAATTCGGGATGAAAATAAAAAAATGTGAAGGGGTGATAAATACAGAATATAAATTTTAGTCAATCTATGATCATGTTGCGATAAATTATGAAAAAGGTTTGAACGTAGTATTTAATCCGTGAAATATTACAAGAATAATGTAAAATACAGACATACGCGTGCCGACTGTTTACCCACGCGATTTTGAATTCATGGTATTATATTCTTAACGTGAAGCAGAGAGAAGGGTACGAGAACCCTTCGTTTATTTCATTGAGCGAAACGGTTTCTCGCTTCTATATTACTAACAAAGTATCATATTATACACATTTTAATGTTCAAGTATTTTAATGATAGATATTATGTTACGTTCATTATAAGAACATCAATCATCCATGCATGTCTTCCAGTCATAAAATAATTATATCTTGAAACTATCAAGTATGTAATAAGCGAAGAGTTGAGTGTGATTTATTATACAAAATACTTCAGATCGATTAATCTATTATCCGACTTAACTTATTTGTTAACATCACTTTTTATTAGATATTTTAGAAATCTAACTATTGCATTGGTCCTCATGACGGAACTTTTGAAAAATTTTGCTATATTTCGACTCAGCTCGTCAAGCGGATTCTATTCAGAAAATGCATATAACAATTAAACGTAATATCCTATTAAATTACTATGAATTGCATATGAAAGCTTATAAAATGAGCTTCAATTTGCATACTTTTTTTTTTTTTTTTTTAATTGAATTAAACTGTTTCACTGTTTCTTTGCAAAATAACTATTGAAAGCGATAACTTGTGAAATTTGTGTGGATTGCATCTAACAGCTTGATAAATGAGTACTAATTTGCATATCTATCCATCGGTCTAGGCCAAAAATTACCTACTCTCTGTGTCTATGTAATAAAATTTTACTTTTGCATTCGTTTTATCTACACTTCTATACTAATATTATAAAGAGGAAATATTTGATTGTTTGTTTGTTTGTTTGTTTGTTTGCATTGAATAGGCTCCGAAACTATTGAACCGATTTGAAAAATTCTTTCACTGTTGGGAAGCCACACTATCCCCGGGTGACATAGGCTATATTATATTATAATTAATTTTGAAACTTTGTTAAGTACCCATGCAAAGCCGGGGCGGACTGCTAGTAGTAGATAATTATTTTATTAATAATTTGGAAATTATTATATTAGTCATAATGAAATATACACGGATCAAAATTGTAGTGTCTATTGATTACTTCAGATGTACACTATTTATTCAGACATCTGAACGATGTACCTGATGTACGTAAACGTATTTTTTTTTTGTATACAATCCTAGTAGTTTTTTTTTTTATTCATTATGAAATCTACTTCCATTTTGGTTGCCGAATGGCCTTTTTTTATAATTTATTTTGTAAAATTAAAAATTTTTTTGTATAATTTGTATTAAAAAGTTTAGTATGACCTGTACTTGTAAAATTTTAACACTTTTGATCTTATTTCCATAAACTTCATTTGTAAAATATATATCATAAATCTAAACATTCAGCATAAAAACTAGTTCACCGTACATCAGTCGGTTATTATATAATATTTCACTTGACAAAATTGAATTCTTTTATACACTTGAATTTTTTTGTGACAAAGATAAGTTAAGAGATCCTTTTCGTTGCCACCTTGAGCGATAAAAATGCTGTTTTCTCACAAAATATGAGAACAAAGGTACCGGTAGTCACGCCGAAAAATGATGACAATACAACTAAAAAGAGATTTTCGTAGAGATATAAAAAGATTGAACAGAAGCCTACTGTGTAAGCGGATTATCCTTGAGTATTAAGACATTGATACACACGACTCTTCGTTTGCTTCTAAGAATTATGATCACTATGATGAAAATCCAATGAAATAAACATTCTTCTTTAATTAATGTTTAAAGAAAAAAACTTGTTTAAGTTTTTTTTTCTAATTTATGTAAATAAGCTTCTTTTTTTCAATAACTGATAGAAATAAGACTAATGTTATCAGTTTTTGCTCATACAGTGCGACGAAGCTCTGATAGGCTAGTAAGTTTTCAATACAACACGTTAAACCAGTTTTTTGGACAAATCAATCAAATTTTTTCAGCTACCCAAGATAATCAAAATTCAATTTTTATATAACTATTGATTTTTAAAAATATGTCATAAAATATTTTGATTTAAGAGAACACCTATACTGTTTATTTATTTCCTGGATAACATTGGTTCTTGTTTTTAATTTTTAAATTAAGTAGATTGTTTTTATAAAGCGTTAAATTTCCTTTAAAAATAACGCGGCTTGTCATGACCTTAGCGCCTACAAATCTCAGCGGATTCCAATGAAACTCAACATAATTATCCTTTGGACGATTCTCAAGGTCAAGTTCGAAGATGAGCTAAATCGGAAGATTAGTTCAGAAATGAAAGCAATTCAATATTTTCAAAAAATGCGTAAAATCATATTTCTGTATGTTTTTTTCGAAATACCTTTCGAATGCGATAACTTATCAAATTTTTGTAACTTGCACTAAAAGCCTACGAAAAAGCTTTGATTTTAATGTTATTTCATTCTCCTAGAGTGAAAGTAACCTATTGATCTAGAGGCATTTGATGAAATTTTACTGCTGCATTTGTTTCAACGATTATACAAGTTTTAATTTTTTTTTTTATTATATTGCTTAAATAAATTGAATTTCTTGCTATTACTTTTTTAAGAGTTAAAACTTTAATTTCCAATGTATTTCTTTTATAATTCTATTTAATTTAAGTCTTATATTATATTTCGGAATTAGTGTGAATCATAATTTTTTAAATTTATTTATTTTCTTGTTGAACGAAATTTTGTATCAAGATTTGTTATTTTTGTAAAAGATCTAAAGTTAAGAGTGGTTCTATGGAAAAAAGAAAACTCGAAAAATTACAGTATATAATGCAACGTGGCGCTTCGTGATAAAAACTGGAAAAATTACAGTTTCAGATTGTAATTATTACAGATTTTATAAGAATCACATTGTAA